GCGTGTGTCCGAATTCATTATGGTTCAACAGAAATAAGAACTCTCACACATCAGCCCAAGTATGAGGTAAGCTATAAATAGTTTATTTTACAAATATGCACATTCATCTAGATTCTAAAACATTGTTTCTCAATCAGGGGCAAGAGAACGATTAACATTGATTGATTGAGTGTAGGGTTTAGTGGCACAAGGTCTAAATGAGGACATGCTGCACCAAACAATACGTTAAAACAGTTCAAACCCTAAGTGCATACAAAATTTTAATTGTTGTACAATTATTACTAATGTATAGAGTAAGCTATAAATATAGTTTATTTTATAAATATGCACATTCATCTAGAGCAATGTTTCTCAATCTGGGGCAAGAGAACGATTAACTTTGATTGATTAAGTGTAGGGTTTAGTGGCACATGGTCCAAATGAGGACACGCTGCACCAAACAATATGGTATAAAACAGTTTAGTGCCTAAGTGCATACTAAATTTTAATTGTAGCACAATTATAACTGATAAAAAAGTAACTAGTAAGAAAACCAGATTAAAAGTATAAATACAGTATAAAACGCACTAAGTAAAATGGTGCGAAGGTGATGTTTATAAAAGTATAAAAAATTGTAGATGTGTTAAAACATTTATATACAGTTAAAATATTAATAGCACGTAAATACGCAAAATGTTAGGATGTTGAATGTCACCCTACAAATCTTGCATGCGTAAAATAGAATTCCCAAGAAACGTTAAATCATGTTGGTCAAAACATGGACACGTTATTAAAATATGATGAATTGTGAGAGGAACGTTAGAAGTATGGCATTAAGGAAGAGGCTCTCCAAACAGTAAATGGAGGCATGTTAACCGGGTGTGACCCATTCGGAGGCGGGTTAGCTTTATATCAGCACTGGCAGCACTGACGAATTGCCTAAATCAGATTTAATCCTATGCAATTTATTAAAAACCTTGAGGTTGTTGCCATAATGATGTTACAAACATATGAGCATTTAGTTTCATGGCAGAGAAAGTTTTGGACATGTTGAGACAGATGTGACAGATCGTGGAGATGAGTCAGTTCATTCCCTGGAATACGAACATGACTCGGTACCCAGCAGAATAAATACCCAAAGCCCTTCCTCTGAAGAGTGATTAACAAATGAATAAAGAAACATAAAATTGGATGAGTATCAGTGAAACTTTACTAGTTGGCTCAAAACGTTCATACTATCGGAGATAGGCAATACTTCCGAGTAAGGAGTGAGGAAATTAGTTGTAATGCTATAAGAATAGCTGTCGCAGTGAAGACGGAGAAAATAACTGGGATTTTATAGCTAAATTTATCATCAGCGATGATGACACCACAGCTTACATGTCCGGCAGATTTTGAACCATCTCTTACAAATCGGTACATATAGAGAATATTGGTGACGATGTGCAGTGAAAAGTTTATGAAAAATGCAGTCAGGGTGCAACGTTGGCTTTATTGAATAAATTGATATGGAGAAATGGTCTATGGTGGTATGAGAAAGTGATCCACCGTTTGTGAAGGTAATTCACAAATATCGAATGTTGGGATGAGTGAGCGCGTGCGAGCATGAAATGGGCGAAAGTGTGACAGTCTAGAAACGTAACATACAGTCGCTCCAAGCTTGATGAAATAGCATCATGCTAAACCTTTTCCAGGGGGCTGTGACAAGTTGTCAGATCTGATCTTAGGGTTCGCTGGTGGGCACGAGACACTTTCAGCTTAAGAATAGGGGGAGGAATCTCCTCCACAGCTAAGACAGAGGATCAAGTTACAGGGTGATGTGTTTTATTGTTTTAATTTTTAGTTATTGTTAAGTTAAAATTTTGTTCAAAACCGAAACTCATGATTTTCCAGGTGCGCGGATACCCTATATTTAGCATTTTAATAATTTATGGTTATGAAATACGGCATGAAACATCAGTACTTTTTTTCTGCTTTAGCGTTAAAGGTAAAAACTTCTTAACACAGCTCACTTCAAACAATAATTTTTCAGGTCAGCAGTTATTTAAATATGAAAGAAACAGTTATTCATAATCGAAATTTAATTTACAAAATGTATAAATTTTAGAATATAAATGGAAAAAAATAACTACTTTTTCCGGATTTTATATTTTAGTACAAGTATAATTCCAATAATCTAACAGATCTTTTTTAGTAACTAGTAGACCATAATTGAAAAATATCGAAAAACAGTGAAACCTCAAAGAAAGACCACCTCACTTTTGGGAGGCACGGAATTTTTTCCATAGACTTGGTGTTGAAAATAACCTTTATGTGAGGCCATTAAAACCTCTCCCAGCGACTGGAAAGCATCTGCACCCAATGCGGAAAAGGTAAAATAAAGAAACATGAAAAAAATATCATAACAAAAAATTTAAAAATCATAATTTTAAAAAAAATTAAATTTAAAAATTAAAATATCATAACAAATAAGTAGATTATAATGTAATCAAAATATTTGTGAGGCTCTAATTTAGAGAGCTCTTTTAGAAGATACAACTTCATGTTGCACTCAGAGTGCACTAAAGAAGATAATATCAATGATTTACTTTTAGAGTTGAAAGTTAAATTAGAAAAAAAAATTATTTTAGAAAAAACAAGCATATCAAATAAACAAACTTCTTCTCACCTTTTAAAGCTAACTAATTTTTAAGATATAAAATTAAATACAAACTTAAAACATAAACGTTATTTATTTAAAATAGATTTATCATGCATTATTGGTAAATTTGTTTTTAAATTTAATTATATCTGTTGGGATAATTTTAATAGATGCTAAATATTATTCATTCCGTCACCAAATAAAGTGGCATTTCCGCACCAAGAAAATGACACAGACTAAAATTAAAATAGTTTGCGAAAAAATAATGTACCTTCGCTAACGATTTTGAAGTCGATGGAGGTAACCTCTAAGCATGATCTAACTCCATCAACAACCATTTTACTGTTCAACAGAAAGAGGTTTCACTGTATATTTTTGCTTGTAATCAGGGCATCAGAAAAAATATTTATATAAAAAGGGACACTGGTAACCCATCTGCACCAAAGGGTTGACAGAGATTATGCTTATGTCTTCCTATAATAGAAAAAGTCTTCAGTTGAAAAATTTTTAAAATTATATTATAACAATCAATTTGAAAATTTCCTATGCTTTAAATCGGGAGTGAAATATCCAATTAAATTTTATCTTTCTAAATTTAATACGTATAAAAAGATATTTATCTTTACTTTTCCAGTCTATAGAAGTTTTCAGTTTGCTTGGTGGCTATAGTGGATTATGGCTTGGATTTTCTTTGTTGAGCTGCTACAACTACATCTTAAAGAAATGTGTGGAATTAGTGCAAAAGAAAAATTTCAGCAACAGGAGCAAAAGTTAAACACTAACGAAGCCATCATAGAGCTATGTAACTATTTTGTCCTTTTTACAATAGCAGTTAAATTTGTTTTCATAATTTCATTTAATTAAAATGTGGGTGATATACAAAATTTGAGAAAACACTTATTGCAAGCTCATTTTCTTCTTATGTCAAGCAAAAATTAAATAATTCACATTTCCAGAAATAAAAAGTAGCTATGAAATTGCACAAAATTTACATGTTAAGAATAAAACTTATTTTCATATAAAAATTTAGATGAATTACATTGAAAGTTATCAAAATAAGAGAGAACTTATTCAGAAATTTTTTTTAAATGCATATGAAGTTTAAAATCGCTATAAAATATGAAAACTAATAAAATCACATTTCATACAAAGGAATGAAGGTTTACCTACATATGAATGGGAAAAAACGCTAAAAGAAAGATACACAGTAGACTACTCATTCATTCTAACTCAGAAGTAAAAAAAATAAATAGAAAGTTTGAATTTACCAAAAATTGAATTATACAAAATTCTAAAATAAGCAGCGATAGGGAGAAAAAAATATTGTAACATAGAATCAAAGACTAACAAAGTATTAATAAATTTATTTAATCAGTATAACAGAATTTAAAAATAAAATATACATAAATACAAACATAAACAAATGGGGAGAAATGGTAAATGAGCCAATATTCATATTTTTATTCACTGATAACTTATAATAGTTCATAATCATAATTTTTATTCATTCAAATATTTTTTAAAGCAAAAATTTTATTAAACCTAGTTGAGAAAAATTTGTCTACCATAAGAGAAAAAGAAAGATTTTTGCATCGTGAACTGCGGCAGAATAATCGCCAATTCTTGGCAACTTCAGGGTAGCAGCTTAAGTAGAAAATATAGTGAATAAACTTTAAAGAAGAAAATATTACATATACTTTATTTCCCACGTAGAAAATATACTAATTCATAAATGTAGATTTAAGTGAGAGGTTATTACCAAAATTTTATGCTTCATGAAAAGAATGTTGTAAAAAAATACTTACAGACCAGTAATTTTAAAATTTAAGTTCTGAAAAATGCCTGACTAGCTCACATAATTCTGCATGGACAGCAATAACAACCACTAACTAAACTCAGTCAGTGGCGCAACAGCCCATGGAGGGCCAAGTCTGACTATGCCCATCCTAATTTTCTTTGCCTTGGGCTCTTGAAGATATTCCTCTTGAGCGGTCAGTCGAACACAGAATCCCCAATGTTAAGTCCACAAGCAGGCTTGGTACTAAGCTTATCGACCTACTGAAGAAATGAAAGGGTGAGTCAACCTTGCCTAGTCCTAGAATAGAACCCCAGACCTGTGACACAGGAGCACAAAGCACTACTACTCAACCGCCAGATTTCCGAAATAACTAAACTACTTAAGGTTAAAAGGTCAAAACAATCATTTTATGTACTCTGAAAAAGAAACTAGCTTTTATGAGAAAAAATGCAAATATTGGGACAAAAAACTAAAGATTAGAGCAAATCAGTAATAAAAAAAATCTTAGTAGGAAATTCAAATTATACAACCTCTCCTTTTTAGCAGAAGAAAAGATTCAAAATCACAGAATAACAAGCAACATTCAACATTTATCAACTTAGGTTTATTATTAAACATGAAAAATACAGCAATTAAAAAAATGAATATGAGTTTATACAAGCATATACATGACAAAGCTGAAATTTAATATCTGCTGCTGCCATAGCCACCAGAACTTCGATAGCTACTGCTTCCTCCTCCATAGCCGCCGCCTCCTCCGTAACTTCCACCTCCTCCATAGCCGCCGCCTCCACCACTGCGATATCCACCACTGCTGCCACCTCCACCTCTACGAAAGCCGCCTCCTCCACCACCACCACCTCGTCTTCCACCTCCACGTCCTCCTCCTCGTCTACCCCCTCTACCGCCACGACCTCTAGCAGGTCTTCTGGATAAATCTTCTAGCTTATTTTTTATGGTCTTAATTGGATCAATTTCCTCAGGAATGTGTACAAATCTAAAAAATAACATAAGAAAATAGAATTTAAAATACAAAAATTTTATAAACATTTTTTTTTCGAAGATTAACAAAATTAAATTATATACACCAAGGCTCAAAATAAATGGTCAGGGTCGGAACCACTAACATGTCACTTGGACCACCGTGAAATAATTATCAATGGTCCCTCAGCAATTGATGTAAAAGGATGGCACACTGTTTCATTTTAGGACTTTGGTTCATGTTTTGACCAGTGTTTTTGTCACAGAATAGAATATTCTCTCATAATTATGGAAAATACACTCTGTTTTGTAATTTTTTTTAATTTAAATTCACTTTACTAGCTCTTTAGGCCATCTATTTAATTTTTTTAATCTCCATTCTTTATGTAAATTCTATAATTATTTCATACCCTTTTTTAAGACAGACATTAAAATAATGACTTATATCTATGAAAAAAATATATCGATAAATCACAGTTTCTGACAAAAAAATTAATTTAAAAATAAATGAGAATGAAGGGATAGGAAATATTTTCAAAAATTAAAAAACTGCTCGCAGCAGGATTTTTGGTTCGAAAGTCAAAACTTTTTCTCAAAATAGCAGAAGAATATTATTATACAAATACAATGTTTAATGCATTTTAAAATTTTACATCCATTTTTAGAAAATATCTTACAGTGAATTCAATAAAAACAATTGTATATCAAATGGGGGTTTCTTCAATTACAAAAAAAACTAAAATCTAAAACCAAATTATTAATTTCCATGAACTTTTTTGAGCATTTTATAGGCAGTGGAACCACAAAGTAAATATGAAGTATAAGTATATTGAGACTTGCAGAACTCCTCCAGATATCAGTCTCAAGTCGTGACAGGTACTATGGTTACGAGGAAAAGTCGCTTCGAATAAGGGTGTGGGAGTAATAGTTTTGCCTCAATCTTGGCATAAGTCTGCATGAGTAAAATCAATCGACACCTTTGTTCTTTCAGTGCACCACCATCAAAAATGTGCTCCTACTTATTACCATAGCAGCAGACTGCCCAAGACTTTCAGTCTGGAGGACCATTCCTCAAAACAGTGTTTTCACTACAGCGCGAGAACGCGAGAATCTCGCGTATTTTTTTCTTTTCTCGCATTAAAAAATTATTACCGCGAGAAATTCGCACATTCTATAAATCAATTTCAAAATTCGCGAATTTCTTGCATTTTGGAAAAAGCTTCGAATTACGCCATTTAGAAAAAAATCCGTTTCACTTTTCTTCCTAGATCNTTTTTTTTTTTTTTAGTTTTTTTTTCAATGTTTTCTTGACTTTCTGATATGATCGCATGAGATTTACTTTTAAAAAAAACGGGGGGGGGGGCAAAATTAAGGTTTTGCCCGGAACGCCAAAATGTCTAGGGCCGGCCCTGTTAGCACTCAAAACCGAATTAAGACAAAATATCGTATACAAATGACTGATAAACATTTGAGCAACCTAATAAGAAAACCTGATAAAAAAGTAGATATAGAACGTTTTCCATATGATGATGCAGCAAAAATATTCAATGCTTTAAAAATTGGAAAATGTTAAAAATGTATTATAATTTAAGAAATATTTTTTTTTCAAGTCTATTCGCGTTTTTTTAATTTTTAGAAATCTCACTTAACTTTTTGAGATCTCACCCTGTTTTTGAGAAAGGGTGAGAAATTCTCTCTCATTTTTTTTCTGTAATGAAAACACTGTCAAAACCACACAGTATTCAATTTTGTTAAATTGCTTCTTACAGCAATGCATTCTAAGCATGATCTGATACTTCAATTTCGCCACACAGAGCGGTAAATTTGGAATAGTTCTAAAATTATATTGTATATTGAAAAAAATATATATTAATATTGTTCTGAAAATAAAAATACTCTAAAATAAATTTATTTTTAATTTATTTAAAAGTATAAATAAACAAAAAAAAAATTCTAAAATTACAAAATTAAAAACTTAATGTTCATGGCTATTACAATTAGGCTTCACTCAAAAGGCAGTATATTTTACTAAGCTCTACACGATTTCATTAACAAAAATAAGAAAAGCATAATAGTTTTGAACACATTTGAAATATAAAAGAGTGTATTAATATCTGTTCTATAATTTAAACAGAAAATCTGCTTATTATCATAACAGACATTTTTTATTGAGCCTAACTATTTAAAAAATAACTGTGTTTCCCACAAAACTGCTCATTGAAAGCAGAATGGTTTATTTTTATTTTACAACCAGAATTGAACAGCAGACCAAATTCTGATTTTAGGACTTTCAATGTTCAATTACGTGGCCTTGTAATTTTGAACCCAATCCAGAAAATCTAGGATCAAGTATTGGAACAAACTAGCCTTCATGGAGGAAATTTTGATGGAACTAACGCACAATTGTGTTAACATGGGGAGGAAAACCATGAAAATCTTCCATTTTAACCCATAATTCGTCTACCACTGGGGATATTTCTTATTAGCACTGTAGTCAGTTCAAAGCGAGAGCAGAATTCAGATCAACCAGCCACATCTGGCATTAGAACAGCAGCTCAATATAAGCTTTCATGAAAACTCATCTATATCTTTAAATATAGCAACTTCAGTATTCATTATGCTATTTCGGTATTTTTTTTCTAGATGGATCACTTGCCAGTAACATTGTTTTTTTCTTCTCTTGAGAGAATAAAATTAAGAAGAAAATTTGTTTATATGCTAAAATTATAACCAAATTATTGTTGAATTGTTTTTAGCGATTTCATTATAAAACATAAAGCATTAGATACTTTAGTGGATAAAAAAAATAATTAATGTGCATGATTTCACATAAATAAACTAACTTAAATTTACATTTATCTAAAAAGTTAACTTTTGCAATTATTCAGAAAACAAAATTTGTTAATAACAATATCAGATTAATGTGGTTACTATTTTTAGAATTTTGAAACTATATGTTCTTTTTTTTTTACTTATTTAATCGAAATGTTCACATTTTGATACTTTAAAAAAGGCTGTAAGTTCTTATCAATAATTTTTTCATTACAAAGCCTTTCCCCCAAATTAACTTGTTGTTAGTCTTGTTAATAACAAGTTAGGCTAAACATCTTTTAAAATTTCTAAGAATATAGGTAAACAATTTAAATCTAGCCTCTAAGAACAAGAAATTCACAACTTTTTCTTGCGACAGAAACATGCTCTTTTATGATGTTATAAAATTTGAATCAATATATTTTTTAAAAAAATTAAAAATGGCAGTAAAACAAGTTAATATTTTCTTTCATTTCAGTTATTTTATAGCAGTATAAATATTTATGAGAACATAAATTTTATCTACAAAAGATCTGCTACAAAAGAAAGTATTACATTAAAGAATAGAGAAGTTTACGTTATAGGAAGGAACAAAACTAAAAATATTTCAATATAGATTTTTAGTAAAATAAACAAACCGAATGAATTTTCCTTGACAACAGTAACGGCTGAAGTTTTGAGATAGACCAGACGGTGCGGTATATGTGACATCAGTCATCTCGATGTTCATATACCTAAAAATAAAACAGCAAAAAACATAACTTAAAATATCAACAACAAAAATAGTTTCAAACCATCGGTCATTGTAGGATTACAGGTAATCAGCACGTCTATAAGGATATTTTTGATTTCAAAAAACATTTCTAATTTAAAATAAACTTTTACAACTTTTTGGTTACTCCTGTTACATTTCAAAAACAAAATAAATTGACCTTTTTAATCAAAGAAATACATATCTTCGTATAATTTTTAAAGTTAATTGAAAAAAAGGATACTTACTAATATCATAAAAAATATTCCAACAAACAAAAACTGTATTCCTATCTGAATTGGTGTTAGCATTGAAATTCATAAATTTACAAATGACGATCATAATACAAATGACAAATGAAATTCATAATAATACAAATGACAATCTGGACTCTAAAATCGCGTGAATATGAATCACAATATTGGATTTCACAATCATGTGAACATGAATCTCGGCATTGGATTTAAAAAATGTGAAAATACAGATCATGCTGCATTACTTTTAGATGGTGTAAATACGAATCACAATTAATAATTTTGAAATCGCGTATAAAAACGAAAATTTATGTTTGATATTACAACAGCATAAACGAATCACGACATGGGATTTGGACGACATGGGACGAATCGCGAGAATACCAATCGCTACATAGGACTTTAAAAAGCGTAAATACAAATCGCAAAAATAATTGCAATTTTATTTTGGTCTCACTTGTTGAAATAGGGCTTTACATTTAGGCACATGTAAAATTGGCAACAAAAAAAAAACTGTACGAGGGTCATTCTTGCTGAATTCAGTTTTTGCACTCTGATCACAATTGCATAAGATAAAGATCTTGTTGAAAAATAGTTCCCCACAAATAACTCAATTAGGTTTAACCATTTTCTCCATAACAATCGGAACTATATTCAGGGAGAATGAACTTTAATTCACAGAAAGCTTTCAGCAAATCCTTACTTATTTTTTCAGATAAATTTTGGAAGATTAAGAATTATTTAGTGCTTAGGTGATAACAGTAAAAGAAATACTTCGCTTTTAGTGTAATAATTTTTTACAGTTAGAAAAGCTAAGAGCAATAACTATATGGGAAGATTTGCTTCATGATCTGCGGCAGAATCAGAAAATCCAGGCAACTCCCCGGTGCCAGCCTTGCCGGAAAGAAATATCACTGAAGGAGATCAACTCGAATTAATGTTACTCATAGGTGTAGGTATATATCCATTCCTATATAAACAGGGGTCTGTCCAAGCCAAATTTACTACCGTTTAGCCGTACCTTCAGAAATTCAACTTTAGGAAAAACAGTAGTTTCCCAAAATACTTTTTTCTTTTTGTGTCTCGTAAAAAACGATAAATCCATATTTTTACCTTATTTTTTGGTTAATTTTTTTAATTTTCACAAATTATGTCTAATTTTCACAAAATAGGTACTTCTCAGAAAAACCTACACAGACCCCAGACAACCCTACAAACAAACCATGACATTTTTTTTTTTCAAAATTTGCAAGTTTAAAATTCGTTAGGTGTCTTGGCTATTGTAGTTAACATGACGTTCTTCCCACAAAAATTCCCACTGTATTTTACTATTACACGTTTATGCCAAATTTAATAATTATAGTTAACGATTAAGCCTAAATTAAACAGAAATCTGCACTCTAGCGGCGGAAACAAAAATTACTTTCGAATTCAAAATTTGGTTTATTACACAATTAAAAACTCTCTGTTTCAACAAATCAGTACACGAAACATAACTAAACACACCCCTTTAAAATTAAAACAAGAAAATAAAAGTCTTAATAAAATAAAAGACTTATTAAAATATATAAGAATGGGTTTAGAATAGAATAGAAATTACTTAAAAAAATTCACTTATTACACTTTGTTAGAACTATTTAATATCAACACAGGTGAAAAAAAAAAGGAAAAATACTTCACTACTTCAGAATTCTTTTGCAAAGGCATATATATAAATATATTTGATAAAGAACAAAAGCATACCCGTCAACCGATTGAATTTTTCCTTTTACAGATGTCTCATCACGAAAGTCGACCGTAGTTGTCTCACCCTCTAGCCCTTGTATCAAACTTACTAGAGTTCTTGTTGATAAAGCTCGTTCTCGAGCCATTTCATAAAATTAAGTTAAGTTAAATTTAAACACAAATTCTAACCAAACGAACACAAATTCTAACCAAGAGAACACAAATTCAAACGAATTCTAAGAAACTTAAGGCCGGCAAAAAAGGAACTACTACACTACTCAGTTACAGTTTGGTAATCACAGTTGATATTAGTGTGGCTGTTGCTTGGCTGACCGCTTTTTTAATAAATAGAGGCATTTNAGGGCGGTCAGCCAAGACAGTGCGTATTAGTGTAGTTACGGCTGCATTGAAACTCGCTGAAAAGAAATTTGCAAGTTTTATTGGCTGATTTTATCATCGTTTAAATCGCGATCGTTTAATCATTGTTTCGTTTACCATACATAAAAAGACCCCTATATTAGTCCCTGGTGTTTACTAAATTTGACCTTACGCGCATTTTTGAATTACTTACTGGACTCAAATTTGTGTTTTTTCATTCTACATTTTCACTCTGTTCTAGAAAACCGGGGTCGGTAGCGCGTTGGGCCTATGTCCAAGGGGTCATGAGTTCGATCACCGCCTGCCGATGATTCCCCGTAAGCAAAATGGTGAATGGTGCGCACTAAATCTATTGCTGTCACGAAGTCTTACTAGTTCCCATAATAAATCAATACCTGTGGGATTATTGGATTGGAGCTTGTTCGTGCTCTGGTTCAGGACAAAATTACGATCTGAGGATGGATGGTGTGTGAATGTCTCCTCCCAGTAAAATGAGATGTGACGTACGTGTGTTGCCGTTGGATCCTCCTCTGCTATGTTTACCAGACCGTTACCAGCAGCCCATTGTTCAGTTCTAGTGTGACTTGAATAAAAGTACCGTACCGCACCTATTCAAGAGATTTTTTTTTTTCAGTTTAATGTCATGAGGTTGCAACTTCCATTCAACATTATAATAAAGAAATAATTAATAAACGTTTCCATGATTAAGACTATTTTCCGAAGGCTCCGTCGTCTTTTAAAGTGATTCTTTTTGCCAATAATACGTTATTTTCATAACTGCTGTGAGTTTACAACAGTTTTACCCTGATACATTGCTGTGAGTTTACAGCAGTTACGTTGGATTTTTAGGGAGAATTTTACCTATCTAAGGCTAGCGCTGTCTTTGTTTTATCTGAAAATGGCGCAAAACGTCAATATTGAAAAGAGTCATAGTTTTGCGAAGGAAAAGCTTTTGAATCTAGTTTTTTTATATACAAAAAATTACTCCACTGCAGCATTACTTGGGCTCATAAAAATTAGCAAAAGTTGAGAACAAGGCAGTGATTTTGATAATTTTTCTCTAGGTTACCAAACAGGCAATTTTTAAAAAGTTCAATAACTTTTAAAATATTTAAATTATTTGTGCGTTCTAAAACCCAGATAAATCTTCAAGGCATATCGAGTGGCCTTAAATAATTTATACCAAAGTAAAGGAAAAGTACCACAAAAATTGCTGCACACACCAAGGCATAGAAAATAATATAAAAAAATTACGCGATTTTCAGGTTTACCTTTTTAATTTAATTTAATAGCTAGTATTAACTACTACTGCAACTGTTAAAAATGGGAAGATGAAAGAGGATATTGTTTTTATTTTATACATAAAAAAAGGCTTTCAATTTTATTTCTAAGTTAATGAATTGGAAGAATTTTTATTCCTTTTTAATTCTAAAAATATTGTTATCCAGATACAAAGAAGCAGATAGACAGATCTTTCAAGTAGAAAGTAGATGTATCGTAATATTGATAAATAGACATATGAATTTGCATAAGGAAGAGCTCGCTTCGCACACAAACACTCACGATTGCCTTTGCGATCACATTTATTCTTTTATGATTAACAGACTCTTCCATCAGAATTAAAAATTATTGAATTAAAAGTCTCCAAAGTTTTTTTATTCTATTAATGCAGATTAATCTCCTGGTTCTCTTAAGACAAATTATTTTTGTTAGAAAATTTCAGTTCCTATAATATTAAGTTTTGAAAGTAAAGCAGAGAGTTTTCGAAAATTTTTTCAAAAACTTGTTAACAGTTTTATAGTTTCCTAGGAACGCTTGGACAACTTCATTATCTGATTACAATAATTATATAAAAATTGATGTCGAATTTTAATTTCAAAGAAAAATTTCGAGTACTGATATGGTTCAAATTTTGTACTATAAACAGTATCATACTGAAACTTGTTAATTATAACTTTAATTTCAGAAACAATTTAAAAACTTCCTTCTTAACTTTGTGCCTATTTATTTGTGACAACAAGCACTCCCCTGAACTTCAATACCGAAGGAAATAATAATAATAATAAATTCTATATTTTTAATACTAAAATTGGAATATTTTTAACCCAAGCAAAGCAATTTTGTAACTATGAGAAATATCGTATTAAACGATTTTTTAAATTAAGAATAAAACAGTGTTCCACAAATTTCTAAAAACGTAAATTGTTTTGGTTAATTCGAAACGAATACATATACAATAACACACTGCGTCGCCAGCAAATCAAAGGTACCCCTGGTTCGCAACCGTTTAGCTACGTTAAGATTTACATTAAAAAAATAATAACAAAAGATAAAGCATACTTTCATTTTTCAAAATCTTTTCTTGATTTCTTATAGAATAAGGTGTTTAATAATCCATTTTATTTTTATTAAAATGAAATCGCTGTAGTGTTTCCACATTGCCCAATTTGTCGAAATTATTTACCCTGATACATTGTTATTTTTAACTCAATAAGTTTGTTATCACACATAATTCTGGTGATCAACATCTAGCACCGACCGTCTGTTCAACTTTTTGATCCATTACATTTGAAGTTTGTTCTGCGATAGGGTTTTTTTTCATGGCGCAAAATAAAACCCATAGCTCTGAATTTTAAAAAAAAGAAAATTCTTTGTATTTTTTTAAAGATAAGAAAAACCGTACCTAAAATAGCTGTTGTTTGCTGTTGTTTTTTGTTGCAAGTCATTTAAAATAAATGTCATTATTTTATCATGACAACTGTTTTAATAACATTTTGTGAAAGAAAATTTTTAATATCAGTGTAATAGTGCTTTGATGCTTCCAAAATATCAATCCGATTTTTATTTATTTTCGTTTAAATAATACAAAATACTGAATAGCTTAAAATTTATAAAATTAGTTTTTAAACATAAAAGTTGATTTTTTCACAACAACTTTAAGCAGACGCATCTTTCTTCGCACTTTTCCTCTGATCAAGTCATTATCGACGCAAAGACTGGTCACAAAGAAATAAAAAAGGAATGGCGCAAAAGTCCTGAACATATGAAGAAGAAGCAGGTATAAAACCTTAAAACACCAACATTCTGCAAGTTTCATAAAAGCTTTTTTTTTCTTTTTTTTTTTTTTTTTTTTGANGTCTTGAAATTTAAACAGACACAACTTTCTTCGCTCTTCTCCTCTGATCAAAGTCGCGCGTTATCGAGGCCAAGAAAGGTCGCAAAAAAAGAGAGAGAAAAAAGCATGGCGCAAGTTTCCTGAGCATGTGAAAAAGAAGCAGACATAAAACCCTGAAATCGCAACATTCTGCAAGTTTTAAAGATCGACGGTCTTTTTGAAACTTGTTTCTCAGAAATGACGGAAGCTATATTTTTTCTCATTTTAACAAATTCTTTTCGCCTTTAAGACTAAAGAATATACGTGTTGAAACTTTTCCCTGATGAAAATATTCCCGCCTAGAATTCCGAATAATACTTACCAACACACAGTTTCAGATCCCCTACTTAAGACAAAATAGCCACCTCATTTCACATTATGGAGATAAGTTTTTAACTTTTTAAAATTGTCTCTCTCTAACTCTAACCTATGACTTCAGACTCTTTTGTTCTTACAGAAGGAATATCAGATATCCACAGACATATTCTTTATAATTATTTCTTATTATAAATTGCATCAAGCAAAGAATTTCTATAGCTTTAAATAAAGATGCAGTTTTGTTAAAAAAAAAAAAAATAGTTACTCTGTTTTGAGACTTATTTTTTGACACTCTTCTCATTAAAACGCCTTTTATTGCATACAAATTTTTCTTAGTTACATAACTTAGACACTATTTAAAAAAAAAATTAATATGAAAGCTCTTAACTTAGTTTGATTTTCCTAATTGTTTTAACTAGCCCTATTGTTTGCTTGACTTAATTGTTTTTATCCTAATCAATTTTACTCTAGTTTGTCATTTTCTAAATAAATTTGACATAAATTAAATGTTAAATAACTAACTATACAGCTTGAGAAAGCTTGAAAATAAATTCTTTCTCCTTTATAGTTAAGTACAGAAGGTATTCTCAATAAGACAGTCCTGCTGTTAATTAAAGTTTGAGGTCTTCATTTGATGCAAATTCAATGTTGAGATTTCGGACGGAAGAAACATAAAGAAGAAAAAACTGGACGAAATGGAAGAGTTTAATATTGACCAATACAATTGTTTAGCGATAACGACAAACCAAGAGCTTAAATTTAAAACAAATAAAATAGATAAAAAATTTTAAAAAAATATGTAGTAATTTTAAATGATATAAAAATTTTACATTGTTTTTTTTTTTTTTTTTAATATTCACATATTTTTATTATTTATTATAAGAGTTTTGGTATTATTCAGTATTTTCATGTTATTATTTCATATTATTCATAGAATTTTCATATTATTTAAATAATATGAAAATTATCATACAGAATTTTAAATCCGCATATCCTATTACACTAATTATTTTGAATTATGTCCATTATTTTTCTAAATAGATATGTACACATACATGTCAATTAAAATGTATGCACTTGTTTGTAGATAAATGGGTGCTTATATTATTTTGAGTTAAATATATATTGTGCTTAAATACTTAGTTAATTATTCAAGAAATTATTTAAAAAAATTGTCACTTTGTTAACATTTTTTAAATGGATTAAATTTTCATTGCAATATTTTAAAGCTAAGGAATTTTTAAGTAATTTTCGATAATAATTTGATTTTTAATCAATTTTTATTTAAATTAAATTTCTTACTCTTTTTTTTTTTAATTTATTTACTTAACAATAAATAAACTAGTTTTTTTCTTTAAATCTATGATAAAGAGAATCCTATCAAAACGTGAAAAAAAATAACATTTATGTATAAAAATTTGCAAGATTGTTTTTTAAACTAATTACTCTATAACTAAAAATGCAATTAAAGATGTTCAAGATTGCTTTTCTTGACTTTCAGCTAAATATTAAAATATTTTTAAAGTTTTTTCTACTTAATAAAAATATTTTGAAATTATTTAAAATTAATCACTGATTTGAAAAGGAAAGTTATAGTTTTTTTTTATGAAATTTAGTTATCTAAGGGGAATGTAATAATTATTGCATTCCCCAAACTCTTTTAAATACTTACACTGTCATAGAAAAGACAAGAGCAGATATCTATAATTGAAAGTTTAGTAATTTAGTTAAAAAATTCTTAAATTTATTTCACAATTTGTAATTTCCCTTCCAATTCCTTTTTTCAAGAGGTAATATAAGTTTAATTATACATAAAAGTAAAACTAATAAATATAAAAATTGTCCAATTGTAATTGATCTTATTTTACTACATATTTATCTAATATTTTCAGTCACGACATTTTAGAGGCTTTAACAAGCAATAATAGTAACTGCTTAAAAATTACTGTTCACATTGAAGACAAAGCAACTTACTTACCTACGTCTTAGCTAAGGTTCATATAATATGATTCAGGGGCTAATTCAGGGACTTACATTTAGCAACTTACTTACGTATCATTTTAACATCTATGCTTTACAAAACAGGAGAGAAATATTTATACAAATCAAAGATTTATAACAATTAAAACTAACATGCTTAAAAAGCATATAACGCAGAGAGCACTACCGCTCACTCAAATCCAGCACAAAATTCAACTGCAGCCTGCCAGAGCAAGTTTGTAGGGTTACTGCAATAAATCGTATAGAGGCTGCAAAAGCAGTCCTTATACAGTAGCTAACATTCCTAAGCAAAACTGTAATAGTTTTCGATGCAATTTAAAATATTAATCGTCATCGAATTTAGTGGGCGGGGCGTGCATGCGTAATGCATTAAATGATAGAAACAAAAGTTTTCTGCTCCGCTCTATATTGTTATTATTTATTGCTATATTTTGCCTTAACAAATGAATGGATTACATACATAATATAAATAATCATTAAGGTTAGTCATTTATTTCATTTTGATTGATTGTCTTTTTATTTTGATTTATGTTTCAAAATGTATGAAAGACGAGCTTTAGATCCGATCTTTCACATTTTTGAACTTGGTATAGGCTGTAAAATTTGTTATCTTGTTGACTTTATTATAAATGATTGTATTTTTTTCATTTAACTTATTCTCCAATTTAACATTTTATGCAATACAATAAACACAGTTTGTTATGCTTAGATGATGTTTAAAAAATTAAATTCAAAGACGATAGATAATATTTAAAGCTAGTTTGTTTAAACAATTATATGATTAAAGATTGATTAACACTTTTATCATCTAAAGAATTCGTGAAATAAATTGTTCAATTTTCTTTTTAAATTCTTGCCTTCGAGTTTTGCAGCTTTTGGTCCCAACTATAAACTGAGACCTTTGAAGCAATTATGTCTTAAGTAAAACTTTGAACAGATTTTATTGCTGATACATCTTAGTAATGTATGATGCAAAGTATAAAATAATTCTAATGCTCTGTCAATGAATTCATATCTTGAGAAAGTTGAAATATGTTTGTCAGTAAAAGTTGAATGTCTTGAAGGGAAATTTCAGCCTATACCAAATTAAAGGCTAAGTTTTAGTTGCTCTAATGTATTTGCACATGAGAGACGGAAAAAAAATCACATAGGAGTAACTACCCAAAGCATATGAAATAGAAAAAATTTTATGAATGAAATAGAAAAATTTTTATTTTTTCTCTGTTGATAGTGAAGTTATGGGGATATTTCTGTACCATGATCTGTTGTACCAATTAAATTTTGAACTTGCAAATTTTTCTAAAAAAAGACATGTAGATGTTTATCCGGGGGTAGCTATGAGTTATACCTTTCGAGTTAGTTCCTTTCTGTGATGAGATGTACTTTCTGAAATCATCCTAAAATTTTTTTTTCTTTTGTTTCTTAAAATCAGAGATCAAGGGAGATAGTCAGTGTATCTGCATGAAAGCTGACTCTGAGTAAAAAGACTATTTTTCCTAAGCACGGACTATATTTACTTTGTAATAACTCTGAACTGATTTTTCACGTTATTGATTTGTTAAAATTTAGTAATCTTCGAAATGCAATAGTAATCCAATGCAAATGAATCCAATCGAAATGCAATCCAATGATAATTTTTGTGAAAAGTAGACTTAAACCATTCATCTTGATCTTCAATTGTCTTAAATTAATCTTTTTTGCTTTTCCATTGAATATTTACAAACATCAGAAAAAGTGAGGTGCAAAATATATTTTTTATCTTGTATGCATGGTGTAAAAATTCTATTCAGGATACATTCCTTAATGAAAGAGGAATTTCAAAATAATAATATATTATCCTAAAATAAAAATTACTCTTTATATATATATTATGAAGTTGGCAAAAATATCAGATTTTTTTTTTTAAAAAAAACTTAAATTGTAGCTGTTATAGCCTAATAAACACACTTAAAAGCTGCAGACAAAAATTAGAGTTAATATATGTAATGCAACCCAACACATCTTTATTCAAAAAGTGTGTGGTGGTGTTGACTGCTGATGAGTTATGCTTTTTATTATTTTTATTGTATTTATTATATCCAATTCTATTGTATATATATATATATATATATATTTAAATAAACAATCGTGGATAACATTTTTAAAAAAATTTCGTTAACTATATCATGTTATTTTTGCGAAATATTTGATTATATTATCATGTAATAAAATAATAGCATCAGTTAGATATAGTTACAAATATGCCGCTTTAATATCAATGGCTATCCATTTTCTAGCTATTTTTATTAAATATTAGCCATTCATAACTGGTGTTTTGCTTAAATTAAAAATATTGCACAGAAATAATATATTGTAATATTCATAATTTTTTTTAACCTTGTTTTAACTGAGTATCATTCACATATGAAGTGCTACTGGCTAACATATGATTCTGTTTTAAATTTGTTAGTTTAAGAACCAACTAGTCTATTAGATGTCAAATTCAGTTGCTTGAGCAGGCTTAGATAAAAGGAAAAAGTTGTATTGACATAATTTTTTAAGATTCAATTCACTACAAGTGTAATTACTATTGTTGAGAACAAAGTATAGTCTGTTTGCATAAACATACATAAGAAACAACATGTAATCTCTATTAATATATAAAATAATGACTAAAGCATTTTGTGAAAAAAAAGACTATTTATTCAATTATATTAATATCTTGAATTATCATGACATGAAAGTTTTCGTCATCTAGAATTAAAGTTACATACTCAATGAACAAAATGTCCTGTTCATGAGTTAATTTCCATTGGGATATTGTCTGAGTCTATTTGAATACATATTTGAGAATTTTTAACCATACTAATTATATTGTCCTTTGGGTTAGTCTCCATTTTCAAAATTTCTACAACATTGACCATGGAGAAGTATTTCATGAAGTACATTAAGCACAATGTCCTGTCAATGTGCTAGGACTTTTTTGATGTCAAAATTAGGAAATTCTCCACAATATTGTCTGCTGAGAAAATATTTATCCAGCACAGTAAACACAATGTCCTGTCAATATGCTAGGATATTTTTTAATGTCAAAATCAGGAAAGTCTCCACAATATTGTCCGTAGAGAAAGTATCTATGCAGCACATTAAACACAATGTCCTGTCAATGTGCTGAGCATTTTTTAAATGTCAAAATCAGGAAAATCTCCACAATATTGTCCATAGAGAAAATATTTATCCAGCACAGTAAACACAATGTCCTGTCAATGTGCTAGGATATTTTTTTATGTCAAAATCAGGAAAATCTCCACAATATTGTCCATAGAGAAAATTTTACTGCAGCACATTAAACACATTGTCCTGTCAATGTGCAAGTTTTTTTACTTGTATCAAAACCAGTTAATTGTCAAAATCGGGAAAGGATCAAAATCGAGTGAGTGTCGAAGCCGGACAAGAGTCAAAATCGAAATTTTTGGGGAAACTTTTCGACGTTTCTAGAAGAAGGAACTTTTGTTCCGTTTCTCTCTTTCACATTTTTGGAAATCTCTCATCCATTTGTAATGCGCCGTTGAAATTCCCATAAAATTAAAATCATGTTTTACAGGCCTATTCTTCTTGATGTCAAGTACTGCCTGTCCTATAATAACATAGTCCCGGATCTTTAAAGGGAACTTTTCGAATTTAACATTCCTTATAGTTTCTTTATTCACTTGTTCATTATCAGCAGCTTTCTCTTTGTCGGCCGCATTTTGCTTATCAACTTCCTCAACATATTTAGCAGTTTCCTCATCCACTGCTGTTTCTTTATCCGATTTCTCATCGAGAATCTCTGCAGCTCTGTTGTCTACAACAGTTTTCTGCTCAGCAAGAACTTCCTTCCAGTCTCTTAACTGGAACTTATTAGCAATTTCCTCAACCACTGCTGTTTTATTCAATTTCTTATCCAGAGCCTCTGCAGCTCTGTTTTTTTCTACCATTTTCTGCTCGACAAGAACTTCGTTCCAATCTCTTAACTGAAACTTATTATCAATTTCAGCATTTTTTTTATCTGCAATGTTCTTCTCTACCACTTCCTCAACATATTTAACAGTTCCCTCATCCACTGCAGTTTCCTCATCCAATTGCTCATTCAGAGCCTCTGCAGCTCTGTTTTCCTCAATCGTTTTCTGTTCAGCAAGAACTTCATTCCAGTCCTTCAACTTGAACTTATTATTATCCTTCTTTCCCTCGGAACTAAATAAAAATACAATCTAATTTTTTTACTCTTACCTGTAACTAAAATATATAAATCAAACTAAAAAGATAATTTGAAATATATTTCCAATCTTTTTGTATATTATAAAGCTAATATTCTTAATTTAATTTGTAACTGTTACCTTTAAGGTAAAAATTTATTGATGCTGTAAATGCTTTTCAACTGAATGGATGATTTGTATTTAGATTTTTAATGTTTTTGTACATTATAAAAGTAATTTTCTAAATATCTCTATAATTTTATGATAATATTCTGTTCTTGAAGTCTTAAATTCAATGCATCATGACTATTAATAGAAAAAAATATCTTTAGAAGAAAAATCATTAGAAAAGTCTAGTTAAAGTTAACACACTGCAATTCTTACTGGGTGAAAAAATTCTGGTACAATTACCGTTCTGTATGGTAATCTCATTTCTGGTAAAAAAAACAACATATTTCTGATAAATAAAACTTAAATATACGGTATTTAAACCATTCATTTGGTATTCTTTCCGTTCATATGGTAATGGTTAACCAGAATTTCTGGATTTCAAAATTATATTTCTAAATTACGACACATTTAGTGAAAAATACAAAAAATTGAATTTAACTAATTAAATTAAATTAGCATGATTAAAGTACCAAATTTGAATTTTTTTTTCCAAAAATTATCTAACCATATTTTTTGTTATTTTTACCAAAATCATCACCAAAGCACTTAGGTAAAAAGTTACTGAGTTTTTGTTGTTCCCATAGAGCCAGAAAACTGATAAATTTTACCACATTTTGATACTTTATACTCCCTACATTTTTTCCTGTGTGGGGATGATCTAATATATCACATTGTTGATAATTTTCTTGACGTAAAGGCATAACTTTCACAATAATATAACTGAATTTATTTATTATCAAATTGTTTTGTTAGTTTTGAGTGGGAAAGCTTATTTATACTTTGCTTCAATTTTTTTTCCTTGTTGAATTAGTCCTTGTTTCATGAATAAATAAAATCTAATCTTTAAGGAAGTTTTTCTATACAATTTTTGCAAAAAAAAATTAAGCTAACAAAATTAAAAAGATCAAGTTTATTGTCAGAAAATATGTGTTTGACTTTTAGTTTTAAAAAAAAAAAACAAGCAAACAAAAACATTTGAAACAAAATTATAAGTTAAACAGAATCAATCTAAGTTATCTTGTTTAGTCTAATAATAAGTAAAAAAGATTTTAAAAAAAATAATAAAAGAATTATTGTGCTTAAAATGAAAAAAAAA